GCTAACCCCACTAGCATGCTACAGCTGACTGACGTCATTGCCACAAAGCTTCAGGGGGAACTGGATCCCCTCTCTGCAGACTCTCCATCTCTGGATCTCTGGACCACTAGAAGGTGGAGTTCTGACGCTAACTGTTCGGATGACAGAACGCACTGAACCAAAGAAGTGTGACCCCAAACCAAACATCCTGTACATACACACATGTACTGTTACACCCTGAACCGCGGTGGTATGGCTACTAACTTGGTGTAGGCTGGTTTGGCTCCAGCTAACTGACTGATTATTTTGCTGTCGTCCTAAACGTCAGTAGTGATTTGATCATAGGCTATATGGTCTGTTATTATACCTCTACATGTGATCCATATCCATCAGATACCAGGGTGTGCTACTCCATCTAGGATGTTCCTGCCTGCATGCCTACGTCCTGTGGGTGGTGTCTCTTCTGGTGTTTTTTCAGGTTGCTTGGGTCAGAGAACCTCTCGGTGCAGAGCGAGCACTCGTACGGTCTCTCACCGGTGTGGATGTTCCTGTGGATCTTCAGGTTCCAGAACTGGGAGAACTTTTTTCCACAGATGACGCAGCCATACGGCCTCTCTCCAGTGTGTGTCCTCAGGTGGGATTCTAAATTTGCTGGAGCAGGAAACCGTTTCCCACAAAAGCTACAAACGTAAACCCTCTTCATGAGGCCTTTTTGGCCCGAACTTGGACCAGGGTCCAGGAACGGCTGGGGCCTCTGAACAGACAGCTGCCCCACCTGCATCTGACCCGGCACCTGACTGGGGTTGGGCTCCTCTGAAAGATCAATTACGGGAAACTTTTGTTGTTCAAAGGAAAAGGTGGGGAAAGCTCTAGAGTTTTCCACAGCCAATCCCCTCTCTGCAGGTTTCTCACCAGCTGGTCCCCTCCCAGAGCTGCCCGGCTCGGCCAGAAGGAGTGCGCCAGGCAGGTATGAGAGGGGAGCACAGTGTGAGGAGGGCCCCGGGAGGCTGTCATCGTAACTACCCCCCCCATTAGTCCACAGCGAAGAATGGCCATAGCTGACCTCTGAGAAGCCCCGCCCAGAGTCCTGCTGGTCAGACAGTTGATTGGTGGACGTTTGCGTGGTTTCATCAAAAGGCAGCAGTCCTTTGTAGTCGTCTGTGCTGGACTCCACTAATCCTGGACACAAAGAGGAAGATGCTCTCTGTCAGACAGGATTAAATGATGCATTCTTGGCTTTTCTAAAGTTCTTCTGGACTGGTTTCCTGTAGGTTGACAGAAACAAAGCGTTCTACAAAACTACACACAACAAGTTCCTCCCAAAGTTCACTATTCTTCACCAGCTATTTAAGGAAGCAAACATGAATCTATTCTCCACTCATTACACGTAAAGTGAAATACTTCAAGCCTTCATTGACATTGATTTTGATGATTACGCCTTATAGCACATGGAAATCTAAACTCACCAAATATGACACAAAATATAAGAATATCTCATTCTGAGCTTGAGTGAACTAGTATTCAAACATGTCTATGTTCAGTACAGCCAGAGTCATGAGAAAGCCTGCTGACTGGTCCATGGATGTCCTCCACCAGGAGGTAGGACACAGAAGCTCATGTGTGAGCAGACGGGCTGCTGGCAGAGTGCCGTACCAAAGCATGCTAATGCAAAGCTGACTGGAATGAAAAGGTGTGGTCAGAAAGGTGCACAAGCAACAGGGACTACAGCAAACTGGAGAGGAAAAAAAGTTTATTCAAGAACTTAGGAGAGCTTCAAAAGGAGGCTGTTGTCAGTGCATCAACAACCAACCACAGATATCAGATGTCTTCATCTCCTCCCATTAAAGATTAAACAACAGTCCCTCAGATAACTGGAAAAAGTCATAATAAATAAAAATGTGTTCAATTATAATTTAGTGAAACAAGATGTTGATTTTGAATTGTGGTTGAAAATAATAATTTAAAAAACAAATGAGAGGCCTTTGCTGATGAGCAGGGGACCAATGAGAGGCCTTTGCTGATGAGCAGGGGACCAATGAGAGGCCTTTGCTGATGAGCAGTGGACCAATGAGAGGNGCCTCTTATGGACCCTACAGGGAACACATGAAGCTGAAGCAGGTCACACAGGACAGAAAGGACGAAGGATCAGCTGCAGGTTGTGTCCTGTTCACTGTGTTCTTCAGGTAATGGACCTTTAGTGGTACCAGGCATTAACATGAACAAGAAAGAACACAAGGTGGTCTGAGATCTAATATTTCTCTTCCACACACACACACACACACACACACATAGTACTGTATTAATAGGAGGAAACAGAATGCATTTTTTAAGGGAGAATGTGATTAAAGTGGCATAAATGAATTGTGGTAATGGTTGGGCCCTTTATTTAGCTTGACTGCAAAAAGATCTAAGCCTGTATTTAAAACAATAATTTCTGCTTAGGGATGTTAAATCTTATACAAGATATAGGACAGAGTCACGCTCACAACTGCTTCATTAGCTCATTTGATTTCCATCAATGAAACTCAAACTTCCTGCGAACATTTCTCATTGGAAGCCCTTCATCACCTCCAGGTGCAGGACGTCCACTGGCCAGGCAGTAACTCACAGAGGTCCAAAGGAACAAAACAGAATCATGTTCTGCTCACCAACCAGCTGCTTCAATGTTCTCATCTCAAACACAAACGCTGGCCTCGGTTCTATGTGGTTCTAGTTCTGGTTCTATGTGGCTCTCTTCTGTTTGATCTTAAGCTACAGTCAGTACCAGCCTGCACAATGAACAACTCAAAACGTGCTCAAGCGTCTCAGAATCCCATCTTTCACTGCCAGGGTTCTGTTAGCTGTCGGTGTACGAAGTGAGAACGATGTGAAACCCGTTTGGGCCTGTGGGTGGGCGCCCTTCAGCTCGCTCCCTGCTTCCTCAGTGTCTGCTCCGACCGTCATCTGTTTGTGGCAGCTACTGAATTTCAGTAGAATTTCATTTACAGTTTAAAAGGAATGTTGTTTGGTGATTGTTTTTCCACTGATATCCAGTCGGGGTGTAACGGTACACGCAGCGTACATGTAGGTATGGACCGCGGTTCTGGGGCCATGGTTCAGTACCTTTTTAGAACAGCAGAATAAACCAAAGAAATGCATAGAGTACCATTTATGTCATTTATTCTTAAAAATGTGAACATTGGTCAGCGGCTCACTGGCCATAACTCTACCTGGAACAGGTAAGGCACGTAATGAAGGCAGCAGACCTTCAGTAATAAAACATCAATCACACAAATGGCAGTACTGATCCAAAGACTCCAGTGCGACATAAATAATATAGAAAATGTCCATTAAGACAAATGCAACATGTTCATGATGAACTTAATGTGAGCTTTAGAACTGCAGCACTGCCTCCCTCTGCTCGTGTCAGCACTGACAACACAGTCAACTTGTTTGAATAAACTTTATTGGAATAGTCACTGGACAAACCGTGCTTGGGCCCGGTGTTCTGATTCAGTGTGAGCGTGGCATGGTGGCCGCTTGGTTGACCCGTACAGCGTGAGCAGAGCAGTCACACAATCTGGCAGCAGTATGTTCAACTGAAACATGTAATGTGAGTGAACACGTTGTACAAGATTAATAACCCCC